AGGGTGCAGTGGACGTGCGTCGCCGTCTGCGGCGCCCGCGCCTCGCGATTTGCGTTCGTAAGTGCGACGTCCAATCGGTGACCTTCCCAACCATGGCTTCCGGAGCCGCGGCGGGCGAGACTGGGCGTGAAGTGGCAGCTGAGCGCTCGCGCTACAGCCGTTTTGCGTGCAAGCGCAACGTGCGGCCTGGAGGGCCATGTCACTTCGTCAGCAGGGTCAACTACCCTGCGGCGGAGACCTTGGATCAGCAAACGAAGCTGCTCTGCAGAGCGCGCCCGCAGGGGAATCCTGGGCCAGCTCATCATCCAGCGCTGGGGCTCGCGGTGGCGGTTCTGGTGACTGTGTCGCTGGACCGCGCGTGCGAGCCAGCAGCAGTCGCAACGCCTGGACGATCAGCACCACGAGCTGCCGATGCAGCTTTCGGCCGCCCGACGCCCTCCGACTGGATTCGCTTCGACTTCGCCTCGCCACTGCGAGCGCTGCGCGGTGACTCGCATGAAGCGCGCATGCGCAAGCTGCGCAACCTACATCTCCGGTGGTGAGTCGCCGCCGATGAGGATGCGGCGCGAGCATTGCGAGCAGCCGACATACCACAATACATCACGGACCTCACCCCCACGGTGGTCAATGATTGTAGGGAGTGCCGCAAGTGGCATCCACCAGCACACCAGACCACCCCTTCTCTCCGCCTTTCGACGCGATCCAACAGGCACGTCGAGTGTGACATGCTATGCTGCAGAGACCGCGTGGCCCCCCGCCTGATCTGCTGCGTCTCACGGTGGCGCAATGTCCAACGGTATCACATCACTGCGCGACTCGACTCTGCTTGCCGCCATCGACCGTTCATGGGTCCAGTTGTCTTGTGCGATGGAGACGTTCATCGTGGACGGTGATGCTGGGAGGACCTCAGCATATCTTGTGGAGGATGAAGAGGAGAGGAGTACATTTGGATATCCAGGCTCCGTGTCAGCACGCGTGCTTCATAGAGCGATGTGGTGCCATAGTGCGACATGCTTTGTGCAGGAGCAGCTAGAGCGCGAAGGAATTACTTCGAATTTCGATATTATGTTGGTTCACGTTATCTTTGCTGGCAATCGCCTCACCCTCGTGGGCGGCGTTGCACCTTGCAGCGTCGTTTTCGAAGGGCATCCGTCCGCGCTGCCACCACTCGAAGCAGACGAAGAGGATGAGGTGTCCGGTGCCTGTGGCACCTGTGCCGGGCCTTCTGGTGGTGTTGCAGTGCAGCCCAGCCGACGACAGATCCGAGAGATCGCCCTGCAACGCATTATCGAGGTCACGTCTATGACACGCGTCAGTCCCGCGCCACCGAGTCTGGGGATGGCCGCTTAAACGTTGGCGACCAGGTGGGATGCAGAGGCCCTTGAGCACGAACGACGTGTGGGGCTGGGCCGGCCCTGGGGCGGTCATATTTGCAGATCCGGCTCGAGGCGAGGTGGCGGTCAAGTATCGCCGAGCCGATGTGGCATGCAGGTGGCAAGATGTCTGGCCCTTCATCGGTGTCGCCTTCGACGACATGGGCACTGGCATGGCGCGAGCAGGCCTGGCCTGAGACCGCGTTGAGTACTTCCTGTAGCACGTCGCACCAGGCTCCGGAGCCAGGACCTTCGGCCACTCGGAGGACGAGCGTGGCGCTGTGCCACCTGTCCCGCAGATGATTTCAGCTTCCAGACGTTCGTGCTGTGCGTCTAGTACGCGGCCAGAGACCTGTGGGCGACTGGCCCGCTTGCACCCGTAGTTTGGCTATCTGATGGCCCCCCCGGAACCTGATCGACGTCCGGCAGATCCACTTCGACGGCGTCAAGTTCGACGACCATCCTCTCATCGGCGAGCATTGGAAGGGAGCTGGCGTCAAGCAGTTTGTCCTGAAAGGCGAGCCGTTGCTGGCAGCAGACGCCGGACAATGCTTAGACGGACCGTTCGACGATTGTGTTGTTGACGTTTTCGAGGTTGCCGCCAGCACCGCCGAGGGGGGTTCACCATCGGCCGTGTCGGCCAGCCCTGGGGCGACCGACAGCAACTTCTGTGGCCATGTCCAACAGGTGATGTTGGCAGTCCGGCGGAAGTCGGAGGGGCAGAGGACCTGGCTCAGGAGCTCGAGGAGCTGGAGACCCCCGACAGCCATCATGATATCTACGCTGTTGTCGGGCACGTCGCGGCCAGCCCAGGCCGCGGGCCCCGCGGGTGGCCCCGGCGCCTCGAGACGCATCGCCAGCGTCAGTGCATCCACGTGCAGTGCCAATGTTGTCTGCGCGGGGCCTGATTGGGCGACAACGCTGCGCTAGAGGAGGGGGGGGGGTGAGGGGGGCGAAGGAGGATGGCGCGTGGAGTTGTTTATTGATCCAGGGGTGCGCGAGGCATTCCCGAGCTTCGACGAGGCAGCGTCAGGTGACTGCGTCGCTAGCGTTGCGGGGGCAGTCGTGCTTGACATTTATACCGACGTTAAGACCCCGGTCATTGCGCGCTTTTTTTTTGTCCAACGTGGAGGTGTCGAGGCTGTCGGAAGAGGTCGCAGCGGCCATCCTCTAAGAGCTCACCATCTGAGTCGTCGAGTGCAAATTCTTCGAGAGGCGACCGTTGAAGGGCGCCCGGAACGCAATGGGCGCCAGACATGTTTCCAAGTGGAAGCACTGGAAGCGATCAGACGCCAAAGCTGCTGGGATCATCCGACGCCGCATGGGGCTCAGGGTCTTTTGCGACATGGGCGCCGAAGCCCCGGGGACGTTCGCTGGGGCAGCGAAGCGGGCGTCGCAGCGCGTGCGGTCCTCGGTGGCGGCGCGTCGCCCAGACTGGGTGCGCGTCGCCGTGGGCGGCGTGACTTGCGCCGAGATGCGCGAACAAGGTGAAGCTCCGCGCGAGGTGGACTGCGCCTCGCGGCTTGGCAGGGCAGCCATCCTCAGGCAGATGCCTAGCTGCCGGGGCATCGCCGAGCGCGCCGGGTGCCTGCGCTGCGTCAAGCTGGGCACGGCCTGCAAGGATGCGCCCCGAGCCTCCTCCATGAAGCTCGCCTGGGTTACGCGCTCGCCGCCAAACCCGCCGGGTGGGGCCCAGAGATCGAGGTCAAGCGTGAGACGCGTGGTGCTTGTGGCACGAGTGGCTCGGAGTTAATGCCCATGTTGCCCAGGCATTTTGGTGGTTTGAAGACCGCTGGGCGCAAGGGGCACGTTGGCGGGGTGATCAGCCGCGTCGACAGCGACTTTGGCACGCACGACATGTGATGGCGATGATTTCCAACGTCGGAATGCACCAGCCCCACAGCGCCGACGGCACCGTGGTGCTCACACAGGACGAGTCCGTCGACGCGGGAGATCGGCTTCCCGATTTGTTTTTCCCTCTTCGGAGCAGCGGCCTTCGCCTTGCTCGCCCAGCGCCATGTCGCAGCGTGCGTCGCCACCCCGCAGAGAGCCATGAACAAGCTCCTCACCTGGCGCGTGATGCAGCTCAACTCACTCGCACTGGCCGCGCAGAAGATCAAGGCCCGCGTCGCGTTCCCAGCCATGGGGTGCTCCAGGCGGCTCAGCCTGCGCAGCGACGGGTCGTTCGCGAGGGGCGGGCAGACAGGGCGCGGGATGGGGGGGCCGTGTGCGCGCGTCCGTCGGACTGCAGGCGCGCCTCCGCGCGCCGCGCGAGATCGCGGCCCCGCCTCTGCCGAGGTGGTCGGGGCGCTGAGGGACGGAGGTTACGCGATGCCCGCGGATCTCGTCGTGGACTCATAGAAGGCGTGTCCGTCTTCAGCGCCCACCTCATCGATCTGGCGCGGCCGCCCTCTGAGGAAAACATGACGGGCCCCCTGTGGTGGCTATCCCGCCAGCTGCGCACCAAATTCTGGTGCGACGCTCGGGACATGCGGGCCGACCCCATGACCAAAGGCAGCATGGGCCGGGTGCTCATCCTGCATGTGATGGACGGACAGATCAGCTACGACCATGTTGCGGTCAATTCCAGCGGCGAAGAGCGGAAACAAGGCCGTTCCGAGCTCCCAGCACAACTCTCTCAGTCATCCGCGAGGGCACAGGGGAATTCGAGCGTGCGCGTGAGTGCTGCTCCAGCTACTAGTTATGCTTACCAATGATCTCTCGCCCACAGCAGACTGGCCATTTTCATGAGGAGTGCGGGCAGTAGGAACCTCCCTGCAGCAGTCACCTGCTTATGAAGGTGTGGTCAGTAGAGCACCCTCGTTGCAGCGATTTGGCACCAGCGAGTGCATGATGGACCTGTTGAAACTCCAGACTCGAATGGGATTCTTCTTGGCACTTCTCACTCCTGCCTTCCGTTGCTGTTTGCAGCTGGGCCAGGTACCGCGCCCGCTCTTAGTCTTGCCTTGCACACCGTTGTGCATCCGAGCGATCCCCGCGCTGATCATTTTCTTACACATTATGGTCAGGTCGCGCTTGGCGCAGACAGTTTTTCAACTCGGCCTCGTCCTCCTCTCCGTCGTCTTCCCCCTGTTCCTCCCGTGGCAATTCTCCTCATTTTCCTCCTGCCCCTTCTCCTCCTCAGTCTCCCCGTTGTATTCCCCCTCCTCTTCCTCCGTTTCCTCCTCGTTGTACTCCCACTTCGCTTCCATTTCCGCGTTTCGATGGTTTTCTCGTTTGCAAACCATGCCATGCACGTTCCTGCTTGTGTGTCGCCCCCAACGGAAACGGGGTGCGGGGCCAGTTCTGGCGCCGCCTGACTGGTTGGGGGAGGAGAGAACGGACGGAAGAGAGGAATGGGGATGTGGAGGATGGAGGAGGTCGAGGGTGGTGTGTGTGTGTGTGTGTGTGTGTGTGTGTGTGTGTGTGTGTGTGTGGGGTGGGGGGGTGGGGGAAAGCAGGACATTGAGGAGGTAAGTAGGAATGGGGAGCGGGGGAGAGGGTGTGGGAGGGGAAAGGTGTGGATAGGAAAGGAAGGGAGGGGAGGAGGGGGGGAAGGGAAGAGGGGAGATAAGGGGTAGTCACAGGGCAAGGGGGGAGTCGTGGCGGCTCCCGCGCCGGTCGCAGGCCCCCTCTTGGGGAAGACTGAGAAGATGGCGGAGTGTGGCGCTGCTGCTGGTCCCGCGTCTCGCCATTTGCCGCGCGTTGTCCATTCTGACGGCGGTGCTGCTGGTCTTCGTCACTCCCATGGCGCTGCTGTCGCGAAGTGCCCAGTTCCCTTGGTGAGCGCGGGGGGTCCCCCACGACGGAGGTCAACCTCGCCCCGTCGGCTCGCCGCGGCGGATGTCGGAGCCCCTCCGGCGCGCGATGTTTGTCCGTGGCGGGCGTCGGTTCGTGGTTGGTGCTCGTGACGATATGCAGAGTTGCCGTGAAGGCAGTTTTTTGTAGGTTTGAGCCTCCTTGTGCCTGTTTCGCGCACCAGGGCTGTCGGAAAATGACCCGGGATGATAAGCCCGTCCTCGATGAATGGTCGAGTCTTCGGGGGAATTCATGCCAAGAACGTCGTAGGTCTGAGTTTCCCTTCGAGCAACGTGCCCATTCGATGATGGAGTGTGCATCTGCTATGGTACCCCTGTGTCTTCCACTCTTCGGCACATCCTTCCGCCTTCGATTCTGTTGCACTTCGGACGTCCAGGGGTCGGGGATCCTTGACTTGTGTATTCAAGTTCAAATTCAAATGTACCCGCTCAGCCTTCTCGTCGCCTCGTCGTGCGATCCCTCAGCGGCTCCCCGTGGGCAACTCTTCCTGCTCCAGACTTCACCGTTCTCTTCTGAGAAATTCCTTTCGCTTTTTCCAGAGCGAGCGACGCTACCAACTACTGTCAGGCAGCGAACGACTGAACGCTGGAGCGTGCAGCGGAGCGCCATCCGAACGACGGGGCGGGCGCGGTTTAGCTTGTCCGCTTCCAGGCTACGCAGGAGGGCGGGTTACGTCTTCCTTCTGGGCGCGTAGCGCAGATTCGATGACCTCCCCTTCTCTCCGAATGGGCTGGGAAGAGACTCGGCAGGGTGCTGCCTGCTAGAAAATCCTTCGTTGGGCCCTGTGGGCACCCCTGCGGAAATTAGCTGGCGGGTCTCCAGAGTGGGATGGGTTCGACGGGTGCTGTATGCTCCCCAAGTCTCAGTGTTTGAGTCGGCGCCAGCTGCATTGGCTGATGCATATTTGCCGCTCCATCGGTGTCCCCTCGGACCGCTGACGGTCTGTGTGTGTGTGCGTGTGTGTGTGTGTGTGTGTGTGCATGTGCATGTGTCTGCGCAGGTTTTTTTGGCTGCTGCACCTCGGCATTGCAGCGCCTCCCGTTTTCTTTTTTTTTTTTGGGCGCCACCAATCTGCATGGCCCTGACTGGGTTCTTTCATCATGCCGCGTTTGACTAAGTCCGTTCGCAATCGGCACCTCCACCTGCCGACCGCGCCCGAGGTCCCTCTGCGCCGCCGACTAAAAAAAGTGCGTGTCTGCTTTGTCCCCGGTCTTCTTGTTCCCTTGGGCCGCTTCTCCGTTCTCCGCCTTCTGTCGGTTCCGCGCGTCCCTTCCCTTTCACCCCCGCCCCCCCTGCACGGCTGCCCCCCGTCCTTTTGGGAGGGGCCGGCCCGGGCCGCTCCCGCATGGGCCGCCCCGCGGCCGACGCCTTTTGCGGCGCGCCGTCCGGCCTGCCGGCTTTGGCGATTCTTTTGGCCTGCGAGTTTTTTCCCAGCCGTGCTGTCGTGTTTCGTCATCGTTCTGAAGAGAGAGAGAGAGAGAGACGTTCTGACAGCCCTTTCTCCTTCTCACCCTTTTCCTCCTTCTCCTCCTTGTCCCCCTCGCCCCTCCTCCCCACCCGTTGCCCCCTTCCGTTCTCTTTTCTTCATCATCGTCATCATCATCATCATCAGCATCGTCATCACGCGGCATCATCGTCATCGTCCTCATCATCATCGTCATCATTGTGGCCGTCATCACCAGCATCATCGTCATCACCCCCGTTCCGGCACCCCTCAAACGTTTCGTGCCCCCGAAAGGAACTCCAGTCAAGGTCCCAGTGGCGCCGCCCGCATTTGGGCACCACCTCCGGGTCGTGGCCCCATAGAGAGCTCCACCCAGATGTCAGTGGCGCCGCCCGCATGTGGGCGCCACTGCCGTTTCGACACACCCCTCACGGTTCGTGGCCCCATAGGCAGCTCCACCCGAAGGCCCCAGTGGCGCCGCCCGCATGTGGGCGCCACTCCCGTTTCGGCACACCCCTCACACGGTTCGTGGCCCCGTAGGGAGCTCCACTTCCCCAGTGGCGCAGCCAGCATGTGGGCGCCATTGGCTGGCGTTTCGTCATACCCCTCACGCGGTTCGTGGCCCCATAGGGAGGTCCACCGAAGGCCCCAGTGGCGTCGCCCGCATGTGGGCGCCACTCCCGTGTCGGCACGCCGCTCACACGGTTCGTGGCCCCATGAGGGGGCTCTATTGAAGGCCGCGATGGCAGCGCCCACAGGGCGGCCCGGCCTTCAGACGCCTCGTGGCTTCAGCAGGAGATCCACCGAAGGCGATACCCACAACGACGGTACTCACAACTGCATATGGTTGGGTCCCTCGTCAGGATAATTGCTGCTCTGCCGCCTGCAGTTCGCTCTTCGCCGTCGCTCCTTGGCGCTTGCCTTTGTCGCTCCACTCTCGGTTACTTGCTCTGGCCGCTTTCCAGTCCTGGTTGACTTATTCCACCTCCACCTTCAGCGTAGTCTCGTCCGCCTACTGCCCATCCCCGCCGTCCATGCCCGGATGGTTATGGCTTGTGGCTGTTGCTGGCTGCCAGACCCTAATTACGTGGTCCCTGAGAGCTTGGCCGGGCGTAGACGCGCGCTCCCGCTGCATGAGTCGACTTTCTACGCCCTCGTCGCGCGCGGGGCCGCGACGCCAAACAAGTGTGTATGTGTGTGTGTGTGTGTGTGTTTGTGTGTGTGTGTGTGTGTGTGTGTGTGCGTGTGTGCGTGTGTGTGCGTGTGCGTGTGCGTGTGCGTGTGCGTGTGCGTGTGCGTGTGCGTGTGCGTGTGCGTGCGTGTGCGTGTGCGTGTGCGTGTGTGCGTGTGCGTGTGCGTGTGCGTGTGCGTGTGCGTGTGCGTGTGCGTGTGCGTGTGCGTGTGCGTGTGCGTGCGTGCGTGCGTACGTGTGTGTGTGTATGTGTATGTGTGTGTGTGTGTGTGTGTGTGTGTGTATGTGTGTGTGTGTGTATGTGTGTGTGTGAATGTGTGTGTGTGTGTGTGTGTGTGTGGATGTGCGTGTGTACTTGTGCACCGCGTGCTACCCCGCATGGCTTGCGGTTCGCCTGTCCGTCCATGCCATGCCCATCGTCGATCGTCTGTTTTTGGGCCTTGCAGGTGGCCCTGGGACACTCCGCGCGGGTTCCACCGCAATTGCCTACCACGCCTTACACATCGCGCGCAGGTCTACGTGGCACGCTCCTCGCGCCACTGCCGCGCGGCCTTCGTGGCGCAGGGGCTGCCCCTGCTCGGGTCGCTGTTGCAGGAGCTCCCTTCCTGCGAGGAGGTGGTGGACGGGGAGGGGGGATCAGAGTATTTTGCTTGAACAGACACCCGCGACTAAGGACTACAGTTAAGTGAGGGGGGACAGGGCGGGACCTGAGCAGCTCTGGGTCCCCCGACCACGAAGAGGGCCACGCAGAGCGCGATGAGCACCGCGAGGCGGAGGAGGAGCAGCAGCACAACCAGGAGGAAGAACACCTTGCCGCAATATGCATAATCAACACGAGAGGGGTATTCAGAGCAGCAAGCATTTTTGATCTGCGGGGCGAGAGCGAACCTCTTCCGCTGAAAGCCAGAGCAGCAAACACACATAGCCATACCCACCAAACGTCACATACAGCATCGTCAGCACCTTGCGAAGCCGGGAAACACCACCGTGGAAGATTTCGCCCAGCCGCCACAATGGTCAAGCACGTACCCGACGCAGAAAACTTGGCCGAACGAGACGATGAGCAGCGCGAATATTAGGTGGAAACATACCAGCGCCCACGACCGTACGAGAACATCACGAACCAGGATCGTCCCCATCCCGTTGAAGCCGCGTTCCTCGGCCGAGCGGGCAACTGGGCCGAGCAGAATTCTTTACGCTTCGCGTATCCCCACCAGCCCATCTCAAAACAGCAACTCTTGCGAAGCATGCCGACAGTCGTGTTTGTCAGGCGTGTTTCCGCCTGACCCCGCATATCTCCCCTGTTCCTCCTTCCTCCCGCCTTCTTGTACATCCTCCTTGTGGTGGGAGCGGGAGAAGGACGAGGCGGAGGAGGAGGGAGAGAAAGCGCTCCTCGTGGTTTGAGTCGTTTGGGGTTTCTCGTCCTGGTGTGAGTCGTTCGGGCCCTTCTTCCTGGTGTGAGTCGTTCGGGCTCTTCGTGGTGTGAGTCGTTCGGGCTCTTCGTCCTGGTGTGAGTCGTTCGGGCTTCTCGTGGTGTGAGTTGTTCGGGCCCCTCGTCCTGGTGTGAGTCGTTCGGGCCCCTCCTCCTGGTGTGACTCGTTCGGGCTCCTCGTGGTGTGAGTCGTTCGGGGCCCTCGTCGTGGTGTGAGTCGTTCGGGCTCCTCGTGGTGTGAGTCGTTCGGGCGCCTCGTCCTGGTGTGAGTCGTTCGGGCCCCTCCTTCTGGTGTGAGTCGTTCGGGCTCCCGTCGTCCTGTGTGAGTCGTTCGGGCTCCTCGTGGCGTGAGGGGGGCCTCTTGGGGGCCTCTTGGGGGCCTCTTGGGGGCCTCTTGGGGGCCTCTTGGAGCCTCTTGGGGCCTCTTGGGGGCCTCTTGGGAGCCTCTTGGGGACCTCTTGGGGCCTCTTGGGGGCCTCTTGGGGGCCTCTTGGATGCCTCTTGGGAGACTCATGGGGGCCTCTTGGGGCCATCTTGGGGCCTCTTGCGACCTCCTCAGAAGCGCAAATAAGCGCTGACCCCTGAGAAGGACAAAATGAGCCCACAACCTTTGTACAATCAATGTTTTTGCTAAGAAGGAAGAGGAACGCGGCCCCCCTCAGAAGGCCACAATGGAGCCACAACCGTAGTAAAATCAATGTTTTTTGCTTCAGCGACGAGCTGAGGCGCCAAACTGCCTCCCCCCCCTCGGGGCCAGAATCCTCGTGAGGGTCGTCGTTTTTTGGCCCTCCCAGGAGTCGAAAACGACTCCCCTGACGACGCTCGGGACTCCCTCTCCAGGTCCAGGGGGAGGGGGTAGGGGGAGGGGTAAACCCCTCCCCGAAGGGGAAGAAGGGGGGTTGAGGACAGAGCGGGCTCTCTAAACCACTCACGCCCAAAGGGCTGGTGGGATTGGGCTTCCCGCAACACCTGCATACGCAGCACTCGCCCTCGGCGCCGACGGACGGGGTGGCGTCACAGGGAGTACACCCAGGATCGTGCTAGCAGGGCCCAAGGACGCCCTCTCATCAGCAGCACCACCTACATCGACACGGACATGGTCAAGATCCACCGCGCGCACGCTATGAGGATGGGCCGAATGGGCATGCCGATCGTCTTTAGCAGGGCCAGGGACAGCGTCTCCTCCTTGTGAGACTGCGCCAGGCTGTCGAACGCGCTCAGCGAGGAGCAGCTCCCAACGAACCTCTGCATTTACTGGGACCTCGCCTCCCTGGCACAGCCAAGCAGCATGCCAGAGGCCAACTGACGGCGCCGAAGAATAATCATCAGACAACGAATTATAAGCCCACTACTACGAATGACATTCTAATTTTATCAATAATGTAACGATGCTAGAACTAATGATAGCAGTCTTTAATATGAGTAATCCTAATACTAGTTTTAATACTCGTAGCCCCACTACTACTAACAAAGACGCGAATCGTATTACTACTATTAAGACTAGCAATGTTACTAGTAATACGATGAAGCATGCAAACCATACCATAACAACAACAATGCTAAACATACCAATCGTATGACTACAATCCTAGGAATGCTAACAACAACAAGAAAGAGGCGAGTCATCATACTATTAATATCGATACCAGGAAGTCTAAGAAGACTAGCGAGTCACCGATAATGGAGCGATAAAGGAGAGCACCAAGGAGCGACGGCGAAGAGCTGCAGGTGGCAGACCAGCAATTATTCTGACGAAGGACCCACACGTATGCAGTTGTGCGTCCCGTCGTTTTGGGTATCGCCTTCGGTGGATCTCCTTCCATAACCACGAAGCGTGTGAGGGGTGTGCCGAATCGGGTGCGGGTACGCCATGCGGACTTTGCCATTGGGGCCGTCGGTGGAGCCGCCTTTGGGGCCACGAAGCGTGTGAGGGGTATGCCAAATCGGGTGCGAGTACGCCGTGCGGACTGTGCCACTGGGGCCGTCGCTGGAGCCCCCTATGGGGCCACGAAGCGTGTCATGGGTGTATCGAATCGGATGTGGGGTACGACATGCGGACTGTGCCACTGGGGCCGTCGGTGGAGCCCCCTGTGGGGCCACGAAGCGTGTGATGGGTTTGCCGAATGGGGTGCGGGTATGCCATGCGGGCTGTTCCACTGGGTCCTTCGGTGGAGCTCCCTGTGATGTCACGAAGCGTGAAGCGTGTGAGGGGTGTGCCGAATCGGATGCGAGTACGCCGTGCGGACTGTGCCACTGGGGCCTTATGTGGAGCTCCCTATGGGGCACGAAGCGTGTGATGGGTGTGCCGAATGGGGTGCGGGTACGCAATGCGGACTGTGCCACTGGGGCCTTATGTGGAGCTCCCTATGGGGCCACGAAGCGTGTGATGGGTGTGCCGAATCGGGTGCTGGTACGCCATTTACATTGTGCCACTGGGGCGTTCGGTGGAGCTTCCTATGGGGTGACGTAGCGTGTGATGGGTGTGCCAAATCGGATGTGGGTACCACATGCGGACTGTGCCACTGGGGCCAGAGCTCCCAGGACGGTGCGGGGACTGGACGAGGCGGGCGGCAGGGTCGGTTCTGGGCTAGAAAGTGTCGGCTGGGGGGTCCCAGGAACAGAGCTCCCAGGACGATGCGGGGGTCGAACGAGGTGGGCGGCAGGGTCGGCTCTGGGAAAAATATTGTCTGGTGGGGGGTCCCAAGAACAAGAAGAGGAGGGGTCGGGGGTGCCGGGGCATGGTGGGGGAATTCGGGGTGTTTCAGGTTAGACCGAGAGGACCAGGGGGCAGGATTGCCGGGGCATGGTGGGGGGTATCGGTAAGTTACGAGCCAGAATTTGCCGGGTAGGGGGTCCCAAGAAACAAGCAGGACGAACCCCAAAGTTATATCAACCTGGGTTTATAATGTTCCGGATCATTGACCAGTGTTCATAATGTCCCTCCTGGAACATTATGAGCCTGGGTTTTAATGTCCCGGGACATATTGACTGGGATTCATAATGCTCCCCCGGAACATGATAAGCCTTGGTTTATAATGTTCTGGGCATATCGACCCCAGAAAGATATCAACGTGGGCTCATAATGTTCTGGGAATAATGACTGGGGTTATTAATGTCTCGGGAATAATGAGCCCCGGTTTATTATTCTGGAATGGTGATAATGGAGGCTGAGGGGCGTCGCCTGAGCCATAGGCGGATATTCAGAATCCGGATTCATGATTCCGGAATGATTATCATTATTATTTCCCCCAACACCGCGCCTCCAAATTGGGATTCATTATTTTAGAATATTGACCCGTGTTTATTATCTTTACAACATCATAAACTGGGGTTCGTAATGTTCTGGGAATATGAAGTTCAGGTTTATTATTCCGGAGTGATAGTGATGAGGCGGAGGGGGCGGGCGCCTGAGAAGGAGATTGGACTTGGATCAACCCTGGTTCATGATGTCGGAATATCGACCCCAGATGCATTATTCCGGAATGAAATTGATCTGGGATGGGGGGGGGGGCGCACCGATCCATCCACAGGCCGATAATCCAATGGGGGTATCATCTGAACATAATGAACGAACATAGGTTTATCATTTCTAGATAACAAATCACGGTCGACGATGATTTCGCGCCCACTCTCGCAAAAAGGACGGCTCGGTGGTGGCCCCGTAGGGGGTCACGGTCGGCGTGGGGCGTCCAGAGGTACATCATTCCATGCCCCTCAGAAGAGATTTGTGGACGCTTTGTGCGAATGAATGAGTCATCGCCAGGCCAACGACTACAACCCTGGGACAGGGTCGGATGCGGGTGGGGGGTGCCAAGAACATAGCTCCCAGGACGGTGCGGGGGTCGGACGAGGTGGGCGGCAGGGTCGGTTCACGCGTACCACACTATATGATCACGCGCGCTGTTTGCGGAGCTCACCTAAGTACTCATGCTTCCAGGCTTACCCGGGGCGTGCATGCGGCTTGGCCGGCTTGGCCGGGCATAGATTTGTAGCGGCCGCTCCCCCCCGCGCGCGCTCCTCCTCGGGAGTCGCGGCGGGCAGCTGCGGTCTCGCGCGCTTCGCGACGGAGTGCGTGAGCTCCGCGGCGCGGCGCGGGGCTCACGAGCCCCGCGCAGTCCGCGAGCGTTGAGGCCCACGGCGGGCGCAGGCCGACGTGGCATCG